TCACTCGTTATGAATATAAGAGAGAATGTTTTGTTAACAAATTCAATGCAAAAACTGGTCTGTCATGTCTTGATGGGTGAAGTTCAGAGATGGTGAAGGCAAAGCCATGGGCGTTAGAAGTAAGTGGAAAGTGTGAAAGATTGAGCTGATCCAGATGAGGAGGACGACTTAAATTTCTTGCATTGAAGTGTTGGTTAGCTGCAACAAGCCATTGGTACGGACTTCATGTTTATGGACATGAGCAAAAATATCAGAAAATAATTTGAGACTCTAATTAATAACAATCATTTGCTAAATCGTAATTTTTAATGTTAGGATTGTTTCGCAGTGGAGGCAAGCAAAAACTCGTCAATATCTTGGAATCTTTACGCTAACATTATTTTCAATAATATATNAGGATTGTTTCGCAGTGGAGGCAAGCAAAAACTCGTCAATATCTTGGAATCTTTACGCTAACATTATTTTCAATAATATATTATTTATAATGCTTTTCTATAATTGCGCTATTATTTATAATTTTTATTATCTCGAGGCGTAGTTCAAGTAATAATAGAGACGAATTGTAAATTCAAACGTCTTGAGTTCGAATTTTAACAATTCTTTGGGACCAAGCCATAAAGAATTTTTCTTTCATAAACACCCTAGTACTGACATAAATATTGGAAAGAGTTTAGAAAAATTAAAACTAATGACGACTTCTATTAAACCATTTAGATATGAGAACAATCTAATCTAACAAAATAAAATTAATGGCGTCCAATCAAAAGAACAAATTTAACCCAAAATGTAACGGAATTGTTATTTGGATTTAAAATGTGTACTTAATAATCACAATCATTCATTTTATTGCGGATCCAAATATTTAAATATATATAGCATTACTCAAAATGTAATGCATACCAAATATAGAAAGGATGATTTGATACATATTTAATGATAATGTGAAGGATAGAGGCATGTCTAAAATAATGATTTGAATACTGTACCGACCAAAAAAAGCTGGTACCATACCACAAAATTTACTATCTTAAGGGGTGTTGTTATAACTTTTGTGGGTTATTTTACAACTTAAAAATTTATCACTTTTGTGGATGCTTTACAACTTTTGTAAATTTTTTTACTATTGTTATGAGTGTTTTTATCACAATTGTAGTATTATTTTTATCACTTTTCTTTTATACAAAAAAATTATTATATTTATAGGTATTTTTATCACATTTATTAGTAGTTTTATCAAATTTGTGAATGTTTTTATATTGTTGTGGTAACTATTTTTACCATTTTTTTAGTACCACAACAGTGGTAAAAGTAACCACAAATATGGTAAATGGATGAATGGTACCGAATTTTTTTTTTTTTTTTTGGTACTATTGTCAACTCCCTAAAATAATTGTAAACAAAATAGTGAAAAAAGATATGATAGTTTATGGTCAAACAAAACATATGACATTTGATAAAGTGCAATAAAAAATTAGTCGACCCAAAATAGTTAAGATTAAAACTTCAATAAATTGAGTTGTATTACATAAAAAAAGCACAAATGAGGATGAAATGATTTCGAATCTAATAAGTGGAAGCCATCAATTTTCAACAAAATAATTGCGACATCATTTGAATTAATTTCAACAAATCTCACTTGTTTATATTCTCAACACTCTCTAAAAAAAAAATTCACTGAAGCGAATTGTGACACAGCATTTCAGGTAGTCTTCTGAAGAGACAATGCATGACCATCAAATAATCATAGTCAAGGACGGAGCTATGATTTAATTCTGAGGGGGGCGAATAGTAGCATAGTCAAAAAAAGTTTATCCAATGATGTCATTCGATAAACAATTGTTATTATCAAATATTTTTTTGTGTAGAACCTATGAAAATAACTTTCACGGATTATAGTATTATTTAATTTACATAAAATTGGAAAAATTAATTTAAAAATATCAAATTAATTACATGGAAGATAATTATAGGCATCAACGGCATACTGATCCATGAGCACGTGCATGAACAGAAGCCAGTATTATGTGAGCAAGGCCCTCCTAAACCAGAAGACAAGGTACTTGCCTTTGGAGAAAATTGCGTTGGCACTAGTTACGGCCGCACAAAAGTTGAGCCATTATTTTCAATGGCACCCTCTCTCTGTCCTGACGAATTAACCTTTGAAGGTGATCCTGAGGAAGGCGAATCTCTTCGAAAGGATAGCGAAATGGGCCGTGGAGTTGGGGGAACATGACATTCATTATAGACTACGAATGGCGATAAAGGGTCAAGTACGGACTGACTTCATTGTTGAGTTCACTCAAGGGAGCCACTTCGCCCTGAGGAGGGCATGGAAGAACCTTTTGCGGATGGTCAGCTGCACTCTTGGAATCTATGGGTGGACGGATCCTCCAACAACAAAGGGTCCAGAATTGGAGTATTATTGGACTCTCCAGATGGATTGGTCACGGATCAGTTGTGCGGTTAGGTTTCAAATCATCCAACAACGAGGGTATGTATGAAGCCCTCATCTCCAGACTAAGACTCGCCGATGCGGCAGGGGCCACAGAGTTGACGGTCCTCTATGACTCCTTACTAGTGGTCAACCAAATCAATGGAGAGTTTGAAGCGAGAGATCTAAGGATGAAGACCTATCACCATGAGGCAATGACCTTACTCCATAAGTTCAAGAAGGTGGAAGTCAAGCATGTCCCACGAGATAAAAATGCCCACACCAACGCATTAGCGCACCTGGCCTCGGCGTTGGATTCTGACATAACGCATCGGATCATAGTAGAGTACCTTCCCAATTCCAACATAGACGTTCTCCAGGAGTGTTTGTGATCCAAGAAGGGGGAGAATCCCCTAGTTGGATTGATCCCCTACTTAAATTCTTTGTTTCTAGTGAGCTCCCTGAATGTCCCATAGAAGCGAGGAAGATAAATTTGAGAGCCCCGAGGATTCAAGCCTCTTCATATCAAAAGTTGTACCGAAAGTCATTTTCAGAACACTTTTTACTTTGTGTCTGCGAGGATAAAGTTGTGCCTCTCCTATACGAAGTGTATGAAGGCATATGCGGGGGGCACTCCGATGGAAGGTACATGGCTAATCAGATCATGTCATAAGGGTATTAGTGGCCGCAAATGCAGAGGGACACACAAGCTTACATGCGAAAGTGAGACCAATGTCAAAGGCGCATCCCTACCATCAAGCAACCGGCGAGAGTTTTGCACCCACTAACTAGTCCCTAGTCGTTCGCCCATTGGGAACCCAACTTGGTTAAGGCTTTTCCAAAGGCTCTCAGGAATAAGAGGTTCCTAATAGTCAGAACCGATTCTTTCACAAGTGGGTTAAAGTTGAGGCGTTGACTCATATCAGGGACACGAACACCAAAAGGTTTGTGTGGAAGAACATAGTAACAAAGTTCAAGATCCCTCGTGTGCTTTTATAGAACAACGAGACTCAGTTTAATAGCAAACCTTTCAAGTCTTTTGTGAGCATCTTGGAATCCGAAATTACTACTCCATTCCTTCGTACCCTCAAGACAACGGACAAGCAGAGTCTTAAGACAAGACTATCATCAATATAATTAAGAAGAGACTGCATAAAGCTAAGGAAAAATGGGTGGAAGAGCTCTTGAATGTCTATTGGTCTCATAGGACGACTATGTGGACCTCAACAGGTGAGACACCTTATGCCCTTGCCAACGGAGTAAAGGTGGTTATCTCGTTGGAAGCAAGTCTCCCCACTATATGGACGTAAGCATTTGATACGGGAAAAGACAATCACCAACTCAGCCTGGGCTTGGATCTCACGGAGGAAAGAAGAGAAAGGTCTACCTTGCGGTTAGCGAAATACCAAGAGGCGTTGTCCAAACTCTACAATAAAATAGTGAAACCTCAAAACTTTCAAGTAGGCGATTTGGTGCTCAGAAGAGTAGTCAAGAATACTCATGACCCGACCGATAAGAAGATGAGATCTAACTGGGAGGGACCATACGAAGTCATATCAGTAGGGGGCTCTAGATCATACAAGCTAGTAGACATGAAAGGAAATGTCGTACTCGGCTTTGGAATGTAATAAATCTAAAAAAGTATTGCTTTTGAATAAAAGAACTTATTTTGTCTAAGTGTGTTGTCTACGAAGGGGCATGGCCCTGGAGGAGAGGTGCCATGCCGCCCCCACCGCCGAAGGATATGAGGGAATGTAACTTCCCGAGCGGGCATGGCCCCGGGGGAAAAGACATTAAATAGACTCTTGCCCCCAAAGAGACCCAAGGATCAGAACCTCCTAGACGGGGCATGGCCCCGGGGCCAAGTCTTAAAAGACTCTTGCCTCCAAAAAGACAAAAAGAGCACAGCCTCCTGGATGGGGTATGGCCCTAAAGGCAAAGTTATTAAGGAAAACTCTTGCCTCCAAAGAGACAACAAGAGCAAAGCCTTCTAGATGGGGCATGGCCCCGGGAGCAAAGTCTTCAAGGAAGACTTGCCTCCAAAGAAATAAAAGGAACAAAGCCTTATGGATGGGGCATGGTCCCGAGGGCAAACCCTTGAAAAAACACTTGCCTCAAAAAGACCCAAGGAGAAAATTCTCCTGGAGGGAAATGGCCCCGAGGGGTGAGGCCTTAGAAAAAGACTCGCCTTAAAAAGACAAACAGAGCACATTCTCGACATGGTTCGGGGGGTGAAGTCTTCTAGGAGGTCTTGCCATCGAAGGACCTAAGGAGCTGAAGTCTTTAGGAAGAGACTTGGCCCCAAAGACGAAGACAGAAGAACAGAAAATGAACAAACACTTGGTAAAAGAAAGGCGTCCTTATATTCCAAATATGGAGGGCTTTGCATCCCTCAAGCTACAAAAAATTTAAAACTAAATTACAAGTAAAAGTTGTTCTACGAAGGACCAGTGACATCACCATCAATGCCACCTCTGACGTCACCGAAAAGCTTATCAATCCTTGTACAGAAATAGTCAGCACTATGGGGAGTAGGCACATAATTAGCATGAGCAGAGGAGGCTTTGCCCTAGGGGCCAGGAATAGTGTCGATACGAGTAGGGGCGACATCGGCAAAAGTAGGAGCAACCTTGGGCTGAGGGACAGGAGTAAGGGTAGCATCCTCGGTAGATGGAGCTTGATTTGAAACTTGGAGGACCCCAGCTTCTTCAGCCTTAACCTCGGTTGCAGATTGCTCCATCTCGATAGAGGGAGTATACTCATGCTAGTTGAAGAGTAGGGACTCAACAAGGACCCCGATAGCCTGAAGTTCCTTATCCCATCCACTCTTGAAAATCTCCCTCTTTGTCTCCTTAAATGCCATGACGATGTCGTCAGTGCATCAGTTGACGATCTCCTACTTCGACAGCCTGTTGAACTCGAACTCAGACCTCAACTTGTCCAACTCTTGGGTGAGGGAGGCCCAAGTCTGCTCTTACTCGGCTACTCTCACCTCGGCCATAGATACCTACTTCATCGCCTCAGTCATCCTCTTCTCGACGTTGGTGAGTAAAGCCTTGATCTTATCAACCTCCGCCTTGGCACTTTGGCCCTCTTTGAAGAGCTCAACAATCTAGGCCCATTGTGTGGTCATCATTTTATCCTGGGCAGCCACCTCTTCCTTAGCAGCAGCAAGCTCTCCTCGGGATTTTCTTAAGGTCGAGGTAGAGTTTTGCGCACTACTGGATCTTGCTCTGATGAGCATGAAAATGTTCCATGATGACCAACACCTGTTGTGCCACTTGGAATACAAAGATAGGGAAGTTAGAAGCCGAGGAGTCCATTAAATGAAAAGAAATACACACAAAAGTTAACTTTAACACAAAAGAACTCTGAATTAGGGTGGGGAATAGTTGGTTGCTCCCACACCCTCAATATAACTCCATGTCGGCATCAAAATAGAGGGCTTCACTCACGGCCTAATCGACAGGAGGAGAGGCAACGATGGAGTCAGTCATTTGGATCTGGTTATTGTCGCGATCTCTGGCCCTAGCATGCCATTCTGGAGTAGTTGGTGGCGTCGGCGTAGGTGTTGGCTTGGGGGTCGATGTAGGCATCGACGTCAGTGTAGGAGGACCCCTGCCACAGCCAGCACCATCGTGCCTTTGTTTTATTCTTCTCTCCTCAATTTGAGGATCTTTATAGTAAACCTAATCACACCCAGGCGGCGTCGACGCCACTGAAGCATCATCAGTAGGAGGAGCTGGTGAAGGAGTTGCCTTAGGGATCACGGTCCCTGAAGGATGAATTCATCCCTGATTGAAGGAAGTGTCACTAAGGCCCAAACTGCACCCCCATCCAGCGACAAGTGTAGTTCTTTCTTTGATCAAGTTAAGGGAAAGACGAGGTAGATTGGACATCGCAATCTCCAAGACATCTTTCTCCTTGAGATTTTGTAGAATCTTAAAGTCTGGCCAGATGTCCTTGCCTGAAGTGCTCTCCTCGGCATGGATGGTGCTGGAAGGATCCCTTTCTACCTCGGCGTTGGTAGTTATGTCTTGGACAACTTCTACCTCGACGTCGGTGGCTCTGTCAGGATCCTCTTCCAAATTTACACCAGTTAGCTCCGACAACCTAGTTGGATCAAAAGCTTGAGGGGTGTGAGAAAATTGCTTGTACCTCAGAGTGTAGTCGAGCAGTACGTGATCAGCTAGGCCAAAATCGTTGCTCAAGTATCCCCTAATGGTGAAGAGGTCGACGAGATTAACAAGATTCCAAGGAGGCAAAGCAAACTCGACGTCAATGACTTCTGCAAAAAATGAAGGACAATTATAGACAAGATATTAAAATGTTGAAGTGCTAAAAGTTGAAGAGTGAGATAGAGAAGTCGACATACTTGCAGTCCACCCTTGCTTAGGGCACCACAAATCGACGTACTTAGGGCTGACTCTTTTCTCCCATTGACCGCCGAAGACGAGAAAATCATCTTTGTACCCCTTGTCAGAATCCGACAAGTGAGTCACGATGTACATGGTTGGGTTTTAGGCTTTGAGGGAGAATTTCTATAGAGGCATCACCCTCACCAAAGTGTAGTAGAATAGGATGTCTTCTAAGTCGAGGTTGATTTGAAGATGTTCATTCAAGGCGATCACCCTCTTGATGATCCTAAGAGTGTTTAGGCAACATTGTCCCGAAAAGAGGCAAAATCAAGATAGGAAACGGAGAAGAATAGGGTGGAGGGAAAATCTAATGCCACCCTCCCTGATAGACTTGGTGTAGAAAGGCATGGTTGCCTCGGTGCCAACGTCGGCAATGTAGAGTCAATGTACGAACTCATTAACAATGCACCTGAGGGGAATGGAGTAATGGGTCTTAAAATTGGTGATTTATTGGCGACCCTTAACTATATACTTCCTCGGCCTTGAGGGACCAGTTTTATCGGCTTTAGTATTCATATTTCGATAACGTCTCTTCATGGAATATACAAGAGGAGCCTCAAAAATAGGTTTCTAAATATGGGGCCCTAAGGTTGGGTTGATGAGGATGGGGAGATAGAACGGTGCAACTACTGGGAGAGTGAAAAGAAGGGATAAAAAAAGAACGGTTACTGCTAAAAGAGAAAGAAGAATAGTTACTCACCAATGAATATGACTCTGAAAGAGATGAGGAGGTGGTGGCCTATGTTCCCCATCGGAGAGAATAAGTAAATTGACGGCTCACTGGTGGATTATGGCTTATCTGGTGGAACTCCGACGAAAGGCTCAGATCCCACAAGACTTGCAAAAGTCGAAGAAGGAGGCAAGGGCTCTGTTTAAATAGGACCAAGACCCATCATTGCTCATAGAGAATGAGGGGGCGCATTAAATAAGGCGTGAGCCACAAGGAAAGGAAAGAAATTGCACGAAGAGGTAGGGTTCAATCCCTTTCATCTTCTTCTGCCACGTCACCGGGTCTGTACAAAAATCAAGGGCTAAGGGGCAGTAGAAAGGACATGCTCAGAGATCGATGGGGAGACGACACGTGTCCTCAGCGTGGCAAACTTGGACCCTTCATGAAAGGACATGTGTCCTCAATGTAAGTCGCCTCAGAGTTCTTTGTGACTGACATGTGTCCTTGGCGTACATGATTCCCGAGATGTTTTTTGATCAACACGTGTCTTCGGCATCTATGTCTCCTGGGGCATTAGTCGCTTGACACGTGTCCTCGGCATCTTCGATCCCTCGAGGGACTCTCCATGTGACTCGTGGCCTCAGCGTAAAATCCTCACTCCATCTAGGTGTTGACAATTTTCCTGATGATTGGCCCCTATCAAATAGCTAAGTCCTTAAAGAAGATAAATAGGGGGGTCAACTGATGCAAGCATGCTAGTGATTGAGGTCAAGCAAAACATCGTCACTTGGATGTGGAGTGGATTGTCAATCATCAGTTCCCCCTTTCCAAGGTAGTCAGAGTGGTAGGAAAGGCAGCTCAATAGCCAATAATAAGGGTGTATGAAATACAAAGCACAAAAGACATGACCTCTAGGAGGGAAATGGATGAAAGTGCCCTTGCACATGCATAGCCATAATGAGGGCACATTAAATGACCCCCTCAGTAGGATGAAACACATTTATTGCTCGAAAAGATAACAAAAGCGAGCATTAAATGCCCAGAGATCTAAGCATTAAATGTGGAAGCTTCTACCACATGAAAAGGAAGGCTCACTACTGAAGGATTGAACACCACTAGTTGCCTTCCAAATGAGCCAATGGGGAGCCTTCCCTCAAAAGGACTCAGCTGTCCGCAATGATTGGCTCCAAGGAGGTATAAATAGCTGTCACAAACCCAAGTCTAAGGTACCCAAAATCTCACCCAATCAATAGAACAATACTTTTCCAACTCTCTCTCACATATTGACTTTATCGTCGGAGGGGTCACGCTAGAAAACACTCTAGCGCCCTTCAAACCCTTCTTTTTGATAGACAGGACCTAGCTTGATAGCTCACAATTGAGTAGATCATTCGTAAAAGAGTTTTATCGCCATCCATTACGACTTCTCAACACCCATTTACTATGTAACTTTTGACTTTCTAGGCAAACTCGAGTTTATTAGGGGAGATACCTGCCAATTTTTTTTATTGTGCTAGGATCACCGTGCACAGTTTGGATCCTTACAGGTATCTCGCAAGGATAGTCAAAGAGAAGAAGAATCAAATGGAGGGCCTTCTTGTTGCTGCTACTGATTGTGAGCCTCATTATTTGATTCGTCTACTTCAGGTCAAAAGAGATTTGTATTTGGTATTACTAGGTTGGTTCCTCTCTATCTAACATAAACTCTATTTGAGTTGTACGTGCAGACAAAATTATGGATTGGTTTGGCAAGCAAGCCATCTTAGATAGATGCATTGGTTGTGTTGTTTTTTATACTGAAATACATTCTTTTGATTGCATATACGTGTATAATAAATTGATTTGGTTTTCTTCAAGCACTGAATAAGCTTTAAATGAACTATAACATGTTATTGCTTTTGTTTTTATGGATTGCTGATATTATGATGGAGGTTTGTAAAAAAGTTGCAGGATTTTAGAATCTTTTGGATTTGGTGGGTGTGATATTTTTTTGTGATTTGTTTATCTGTGAAGGTATGAACCAAATTTCTGAAATCACCATAGTGCCACATACTTGGGATCCTTCTACACTCTATAACTTCTGGGAAGTGAGAGCTTGGGATGTCCATCAACCAATTAATTGCATGATGGTTAGTATTTAGACATGTGACATTATTTTCCTTATAGAAAGGTGAAACCAACAAGAAAAAACCAGAGCATACTGCTAGCAATGGTATGAAAACACAGTTTTGGAATTAGAACTTCATCACATTTGATATTCAACTTCGAACTTTGGTTGTTCAATTTCATCCTTGAAAATTTGTGTAGGTAGACTTTACCTTTAAAATATATTTGATTATAAAAAAATAATGGCAACCTCATTTGCCTACCAGTAACTAAGTTGAACTATATAATTCAATTGTTAATTGTGTGCATAAAGAGAGGTGTCAATACATAACAATAGCTAAATTGATCTTTATAATTCTATTGACCTTGTGTCTATGCTTTTATGAATCTAAGTCTCAAAAACAAAAAATGACTGATCAAAATAATCATATAAATGGTTAATAGCACTTTTGGTCTTTAAAATATACACGTTTTGTTAGTTTAATCCCTAAAATATCAATTTTGTCTCTAAACTATTCAATTCGTGTTTAAATCGTCCCTAAACAGTCATAATATTAAAGTTTTGAAGGA